TGTATGGAGAAAGCACGCTCTCGCGCGGGCAGTTCCTCACACTGATTGCAGGAATCGTTCGCTCGCGTGGGACTTCTTCGCAATGTACTCAAACGCCGCGCCCTCGACATTCGGGAATCGCGCTCTCGCTTTGGATTCTCGCTGACTGCTTGGGAATAGCGCTATCGCTCGAGACTTCATCGCGATCGCGATTCATGCAAGACGAACGCTGCAACAACCCGCCTGTTCGACCTGACCGTTTGGACCCGCCTACGCGACCCTACTATTAGGGTCGATCCACCCGATCAGCCCGTCTGGTTCTGCCAATGTTTTCTGTTCTCGGCCCCCTCCTGCGAATCCCGTGCTCCGTTCTTCTCGGTCCCCCTTCCATCCATCCTCTCTGCCCCTGTTTGAAGGGCTGCGCCCATCACGAGCGGCAGGTAAGGAAACTATGCCCCCAGAAAGGTACGATCAGACAGCTTGTATTTTTCAATTGACGTGCCCCAATCGGGGCTCGCATCCGGTTGTGTATTGGGGCAAACCTTCCTGCTGAAATTATGTCCCTGCCCCCCTAGCTACATCAACGACAACAGCAACAACAACAATAGCAACAACAACAATAACAGCACCAACAGCTGCAACAACACAAACAATAACACCAACACCACTAACAATATCAACACCAACACCAGCACCAGCAACACAGACAGTATCAACAACACCAACCACAACAACAACCACAACCACACCCATACCTACAGCAACACCATCACAAACAACACCAACACCACCGACACCAACAACAACATCAACAACGACACCAACAACATCATCAACCACAACAATCATTATACGACTGTTCGCTCTTGCTTGTCCGCGTGTCATTCAAAACGAATTCCCCGCACCCTCGATACCCGCCCTGTTTGTCTTCGATCACACCCCTCCTTTTTGGGGAATTATTTCTCTTTGCGGGGGGCGGCGGGCTTAGACAGGCGGGCAAACCTGAACGGGCGGACAATCCTTCGTGGGCATACGTGTGCCCGCCATTGGAATTGGTGTGGGCCCTGCTGCAAAAAAGGAGGGGGAGAAGGAGGGAGGGTGGGAAGAAGGGAGGGTGAGGGATGAAGGAAAAAGAACAACGCCAGGAGAGAAGGATCGAAGAGAGGGGCTGCTGAGTAGAGGCAGAGAGAGAGAGAGAAAAACAAAAAACAGAAAGAGAGAGAGAGAGAGAGACAGAGAGAGAGAGAGAGAAAGAGAGAGAGAGAGAGAAAGAAAGAAAGAAATAAAGAGAGAGAAAGAGAGATAGAGAGAACAAGAGAGAGAGAGAGAAAGACATAGCGATAGCAGAGGTCGAGAAACAGAGAGAGAGAGAGAGCAGGGAGAGAGAAAGAAAGAGGAAGGGAGGAGGCAGGACAGGGGAGGGAGAATGGAGGAGGGAGAGGCGGGGAGGGGATAGGGCAGAGTGGCATAAGGATGAGGGAAGAGAGGAGGGAGAGAGAAAGGAGGAGAGGAGGGAGGAGGGAGAGGAAGGAGAAGCAGGAAGGTAAGAGCGTGAACGTTCGAAGAAATCCTAAGCGAAAACGCCGTTCCTGAAGGAAGCTTCGGGCGGGAGCCCACGACGGGCGGGCGATCCCCTGACGGGCGGGTCGGGCGGGTGGGACATTCAAGCAGGATGCCTGAGTATGGCGAGGGCGCGATTACAAAGTAAATTGTAACGGCGTCCTTGGCGCAGCGTGAGTCCTGAGCGTCGAAAGCGCGATTTCTGAATACATTGCATGGAAATCACAGGCGAGAGCGCAATTCCTGAATAAGATGTGAAGGGTTCTCTGGCGGGAGCGGGGGTCTTGATCCAATTGCGAGGACCGCTTGATTCAACTGCAAGGAAGTCTCAAGCGGGAGCGCCGTTCCTGAGTAAATTATGAAGAAGTCTCAGATGGGTCCTAACTAAATGACGAGGAAGTCACAGGCGGGAGCACCGATCCTGAGTAAATTGTGAGGAAGTCTCAAGACCGGGGGTCCTGAGTATATTTGGAGGGAGTCTCAGGCGGGAGCCGTTGTTGTTGTTGTTATCCGGGGAGGGCAGGGGCCCAGTTTGAGCACCAAGACTTTCCCTGTCAACAAACAGGGTGCGAGCGTCGATGGGCACACTTTGATAGAGAAAAATAAGTGTGCACCGGTGAGGGGGGATCAACAATATTCAAGTCTTCAGAAATGAGAGTTCAATGGCTCCCGCTTGATGTTTCCTCACATTGTGTTCCAAAATTGCGCTCTCGCGCGGGAAGTCCTAATGTATGCAGGAATCGCGCTCTCGCGTAGGACGCCTTCGCAATTTATTCAATCGCCGCGCCCTCGACACTCAGGAATCACGCTCTCTTTCTTGGTTGATGAATGATTTGCTTTGGAGGCGCGCTATCGCTCGAAAACTGCTCGCGATTCATGCACGACTCACGCTTCAGCAGCCCGCCTGCTTGACCTGGCCGCCTGGGCCCGCATCCCGACCCGCCCATGCCCGAGCCCGCTGGTTTCCAAATTTTCGCTCTGGCCACGGATTTGCCAACCATCGGGAGCGGCCAAGAGGGGGTGTCCAAGAGGGGGGGGTGCAAATCATGACCGGCGGCATGTGCGCGGCCCAGAGGGGGGGCCTGGGACGTAACGAAATAAGAAGAGGCGCCATGAAATCTGGGGAAATATCATGGCCCCCGCCATGATATCCACCCCCCCTAGTCATCACCCCCCTCGTTTCCGCCCCCGAGCCAACCAGCGCGCGCCAAAACAGTTCTCCCCAGCCGGGGCCAACCACGGGCGGAGAGAGGCCCTTCCTCGGCGAACGCCCCGGGAACACAGCCAACATGCGCGGCATCGAGGGCTTGCTCTCTAAGAAAGAGCCAAGGCCCGGCTCACGGCGACGTTTCTTACTCCGGGTTTCTTAGTAAACGTCCGCGGGACGTCACCCCCGCCAGCAGCCTCACATCGACCGCCCGTCGCGGGCAGCCACCGCGCGCCGAAGGCTCTTCGACCCCCGTCGCGGCGCGACGACGAGGTGAGGTTGACCCCCGTCGGGGGGTACCGCCCCACAAATATCAAGAAATCCAGAGCAACGGCGACGTTGGGAATCAAAGTTTAGGAAATCACGAGCCACACTTTCCTACACATCGAATCAGCGAACGACAACGACACAGCGAATTGCAGGAAAGCGTGAGTCACGCGCTCCCACAACACTGGAGT